AGTTCAGCTGCCAATAAGCTAGCCAAAAGAAAGCCCTCTGTTGGAGGTCCATCACCCAACGCGTGAGAGTGGGTCCTGTGCCACTCCACTCTTGGGATGGGCTGTTCACATCCATCCCCAGACCTCTGTCCATCTCCTGATTCCTCACAGGCGGGCAGAGCAGCATGCGACACTGTTGTTTGTCAATCAGGGAATACTGGCTGTTGCTCCCTTCCAGAAATGTGACCAAAACCCACAGGGGCTTCTGCTTCCCCTGTTTCTGCCATAGAACCCAGCCAAATCCATCCTCATCAACACTGATGACTCAGATAAACGGCAGGTTAGGGTCAAGGGCTCGTGGGGCTTGCACCTGTGTGATAGCCCTCTTGGAGTCTCGAGAAACAGCTTCTGCTGCATCTGTGCAGCCCATGCTGTGCCCCTTTGGCTCAGCTGGTAGAAAGGACACAGCAGGGAACCTAGGTGAAGCCCATCTGCCAAAATCTAGCATGTACACTTGTAACTGGCATACTGTCATGGGTCTGGCCTTACCTGACCATACAACAGCCAAGAATTTCACAGACAAGCCAGGTCCCTGGACCTTTGCTTTTTTCTCGGCTCACCCCCATGTCAGCAAACCTTCTTTCAGGCTGGGCAGGGCAGCTTGAAATCAGCAAAACAATCAGGTGAACAAACTAGCATCAATAGGAAACAGTGGCACACAGTGTGGCTTGGCCAAGAGGGACAGTCTTGGGCCATCAGAGCATGACACAAACTTGGGCTGTTCAAAGAGCCTTGTGGAAACATCAGAAAGTTCCACTGCCTGCCCTTCTGGGTGAAGGCGGATTGGTCCTGACCACCAGCAACTTGGTGAGAAGTTACAGTCATTCGCCACGACCGGTCTTTATTCTGCAGGGGCCATACTGAAGGCCTCTTCCTAGGCAGTATCACCTGCACTTTTTCCAGCTTCAAGACAGTCTGTCCCATTGCCTCACGACCTTCAGGCAGCTGACACTGTTTTGCATACACAAGGCATGAGGCCTGTGGGAGAGTCAGTGTTGCATGGTGTGCACCGTCAGGTTACAGATTTTATCAAGCAAATTCACAACAGGCATTTTTCCTGCATGGTGTCGAGCCCAGCAGCAGTGAGTGTGTCCACCCTCAGTATGTGTTCAACCACCAGGGATACATAAACATCATGCAGGCATGGGGCCAGGCACAGGATACCCAAAGTCACCTGGGCCTTGCAGACCATGATGCAGGGAGCTCGATAGCATTCTGTGTGCACATTAGGTCCTGTAAATTGGTCTGAGTGGCTGTATATGCTCGTTGACTTGGCTCTGATGTCCATCGACACTACTGCATGCTGCACATTTGTGGGGGACCTTTACCTCCTCCATTTCACAGGTGGCCTCCACTCTCCTGGAAACCCGAAGACCTGGGTATCTCCGTTTGCCTCCAAGGGAAAAGGAGTGCAAGGAGTAAAAGGAGGCCACTGGCACTCTTTTCTGCTGCATGGGAAGTCCTTTGGCCTTTCGGCCCTGGCCCATCAGCCTGTGTTGCTATTGAATGAATACCTGGCTCTATGGAGTCAGCAACACATGAAAAGGCTGCCTGTCGAACTTGTCCGCAGTTAGGCCAGCAGCCAGCAGGTCCATACAGATGTGGCAATGACCAACCTTGAGTGGTCCCAGAGACTGTCTTTGGGGGGACAGACCTGCTCACCGGGGGTCCCCCTTCTTTCTCTCCTTTGCCAGTACTGCTTTCACAGATGTCTCCCCACTTTGGTGTTTTACTTTCCCATGTCCTAGCCTGGCCAGAGCACCCACAGCATCATGGACTGGGTGATAGGTAGAGAGAGCTAGAAGGACTGCCTCTGACCTAAACATGCCAGCAGGGCTACTTGTCAGGGTTATGTTCTTCATGCGTGCCATCAGCAGTTCCTCATGTGGGTTATGGTACTGCAGTGGAAACGTCACCTGCCACATGCCCATTTCATGTAGCACAGTTTTTAAGTCTTAAGTCACTTACTGACTTGCTCTAGTCACTAAGGTTTTAAGTCACTTACTGACTTGCTCCAGCAGGTCACTTGGATTCTCCCAAGGTCTACAAGCCTCTTCCATCAACCAATTTATCACAGTCTGATTAATTACCTCTGGCTTGGCCTCTGCAAACTGCAGATCCCATCTCATCTAGGGGGTTCTGGCATTGTGAGCTCTTTGGGACACTCTGTGAGCTTCACTATGTATTATCAGCTTCATGGTCCCACAACCAGAACAGCCACATGGACACTTTCACCCGCCTTCTGCTTTACTTGTTTGAGAGCTCCCACAGGCCCATGGTTGTACAGGTCGTGTACATTGTGTGCCAGGTAGGTGTAGGCAACCCACCCAGTTCTCCACCCTGTGCTAGGGGTTCCTCCTCCTGCACTTCTTGAAGAATAGCGGGCCTAGTGCGCCAAACCACAGGATTTTCCCAGGGCTTTTCTCCCACACCAGGACTTCTGCTTTTGGAGATGTTTCCCCCAGAAATATCTGTCACACCCCAAAACAAGAGCTGCACAGCAGCCAACATTTGCTCCAGGTCCTCTTCTACCTGCCTCAGCTGGTCTTCTTGCCAGACAAGGCCTTCCACCTCTTGATTTACACTGCGGAAAGGGGTGCACAACAGCCGAGCCATCTGCCTTGCGATTTCATGGTGTGGGATAAGAATTTACCTATCCCTTCCAAGTCTTATTACACCTCCTCAGGCTTCAAACAGACTGTTTGCCAGTAATCCTGGACTTTACAAGCTGCAAACAAGGTGGTTACAGGTAGCCATGACCAGGGCCCCCTTTCTGGAATCAGCACCTGAAGGCAAGAGGGAGCCCAGAAAATGGCTAATAAGTGGGGAACACTTACTAGCCGTTCCCTGGACTCTCTCTTGCTTTCAGGTGCTAATTCCACAACATCCATCGACCATTCACATCAATATCCTGCCAACTACACCAGATGTCAGCCCACTCTGGGGGCCCAGTGGAGATTTTCAAGAGTTAGGTCACGAGGATAAGGAATGCGCAGGTGCAAGACATCAGCAACAGCAGCAGGCAGCATGGAAGAGGGCAGAGCATAAGAGTGTAAGAGCACAAGAGCAAGAGCCACCTACATCTTTATTGCAGAATTCTTATACAGGTGAGTATCTCATATTTACATTCTTGCAGAGTGTCTTAACCAAATCATGCGTGTTTATCTGTGCTAAGTCATGGTCACATAACTGTATCCCACTGGGTGTCTGCACTAGACAAGCGGGGTCATGTTCTCAGGTGTCCTCACATATCTCTGAGCTTCAAAGCAGTCTGCGTGGTTCCCCACATGACCCTTACCTTGGATTTCAGTACCCAGCTCCAGTACCTGGAACCTGCTAGCAAATATATGTCATCCTACAGGCACAGACTTTCTAGCTTCAAGCATTAAACTTCGGACCTTCCCAGTGCAGATCGTGATACAGACTTGTATGGGACATTGTCATGGGCTCTAGGCCTCCAATTGGACTCCTGAAGGACATTCTCATGTTGTCTAGGTCTTTCTCTGGACACATGAAAGACATTGCCGTGGCATCCAGGACCGCATCAGGACACTTTGAGTCTCTAGGACATGGACAGATCTCTTACACTGCTTCACGTTGGACCTTTTAGGTGAATACTGTACGATCCTCCTGTAAATCATATGTCCTAATTCAATTTCTTCCCTTGCAAAGCCTGCCTATGACAGCATGTCTATTTCAGACTCAAAGACAGTCTCGGTTCATACTTCAGGGAAGTGTGTCGAAAGGGGCCCAAAAACTCTCCAACTGTGTAACACCTTTCCTGAACTGGGGTCCTAAAACTGCATTCTAAGGAGTAGGGAGTGTGCAGGAGAAGAGAAAGGCAATGATATTTCTTGCCTCCAGAACTCTTCCATACATATGTGGAAAAGTCTCTTGTCTACTGAGGACGTTCTGCAACGAAGACCTCAGCATGAATAAGCAAGGTGACCCTCTGGTTGTACACTCCCTGAATTTTGCACATATGACCGAAACATACCTGCCTGCAGATCCACCTGGCAAGCACTGCACTCGGTGCCATGTGGATACATTCAGGATATCAGTGGCCTGAGAGCAGACCTAGGAAGAAGGCACCCAGCTGGAAACAGGCCCCACTGCCCTGCTACATTTAGCCCTAAGGAAGCAGGAGGGCCCCCTGGAATGCACTCCGTTCCCTGAAATAGCCTCTTGTATGATTTTGTGCGGAGCTCGGGAAGATCCTCTGCACCATACATTGTCTCCTCCTCACCATATGCCACAGCTTCCCACACAGCCTAGTGATGCCCAGAGAGCAAGGGCAGGAATGCGCCACGAAGCACACCTATAGCCAAACTCTGCAGATGCGGGGGACATACAGGTGCTGTTTCACAGCCTTAGGCACTCATGATAAAGGAACATGGGAAGAAACCAGGCGCCTAAAACACAAAGCTGGGATAAAACAGAAGGGATTTGTGAATTCCTGGGAACATTTATGGATTTCAGGGTGCACAGAGCTGATAAGGTGGCGAACAACTGTTGCTTCCAATACTTTTTCAAAGTTCCCGTGAAATTCCACACTCACTCTACTCCTCTAAGTTTTAGTTCAGTTTTAATTTTATTATAATATTCAAAATTAAGAAACAATTCCCATTCAAATTACCAGAGCAGTTATCTAACTGTAAATATACTGAAGGAAGATGCAAAGGAATACAAATGACCTGCAAAGAGGAATATGAAACCTCAACTAAAAGCTGATTTAAAAGGTCTTAAGCAAGAACCTACAAAGATATTTGTACAATAGTGGTTCTACAGCATTGTACCCAACAGCCACAGCTATTCACAAGAGCCAAAAGTGGGCGGAGGTCAGTATCCACCAGGAAGTGAGAGGATCAAGAAAATGCGGCATTTACCTAGAAAGCAGAAGGATTTCTCCTTCAAAGGCCAGGAAATCCTGACACAATGAACTTTGGCACATTATACTAAGTAAAACCAATCAGACACAAAACCCCAAAGGTATCACTGAACCTGTGGAGGAGGTGAACAAGAGTGAAATGAAAAAACTGCTAAAACTCAATAGTGGACACCAGCAGCCAGGACACAAAAACTAGGGAGTCACGGTTTAATTCACAAAGCTGTGTTTTGGCATAATTAAAAACTTTTGAAGGTGGATGCTGACAGTAATATACTCCCATATCATTAAAGCCAGTAAAGTATGCAGTTAAAACAATAAGTTTTATTTTACAGATAGTTACCCCAATAAATACACTTGAGAGTTAATGAAATAGGTGGCACGGTATCATGACAGCTATCTTTCCCTTGTGAAATTTTACATTTTGTATTAGAAATAATACTTGTATAATAGATTTGGTCTTGATTGGTTTGTCTGAAGTTAAGACTCCTCATTCACGGTTGCCTTTTCATGGTAATGTTCTGCCAACTGAATTCTTAAACATTCTGAAACTCTTTGCTTTGGATACATCTCTTTTGACACAAGTCTGACTTTAATCTTTTCTAAGGATTTTACCTCGTTGCTTCACAGATATATGTAGAATAACATTTTGTGTTTCTCCTTGGAAATACTAGGGGTTGAGCCCAGGCTCTGCTAGTCAGCCGCATCTCCAGCCAGCAATGAGAAGTTTACTACACCTCAGTAAAGAGATAAAACGCACCCAAGGGAGAAGGGACAGCCAGATTCAAGGAGTCAAAACTCAAGTTCCGACATGAGCAGTGGGTACTGCGGCCTGACAGGTGGAGCGAGGGAGGCCTGAAGGACTGCGAGCCCGGCAGAGGCTCACAGGGCATGGAAAGGTTCAGTGTGTGTGTGTGTGTGTGTGTTTGTGTGTGTGAGTATGTGTGAGTGTTTGTGAGTGTGTATGCATAGTCTCGCTTTCTCTATAACACAGCAGGAATTAAATCATGGGGCCATACTGTAATGGCCTAATCTAAGCTGACCACCTCCCTGAGGATCCAGCACTATGTAAAATATTTAGATTCAGTATGGACACTCTTAATAACCTTATCATAATTCTTTTTATGATTAGATTTTTTTTTTTTTTTTTTTTTTTGTCTTTTTGAGACAGGGTCTCGCTATGCAGTTCAGGCTGTCCTTGCGCTCACTTTGTAAATCAGGCTGGTCTCGAACTTGCGACGATCCTCCTGC